ATAGTAAGATAAGATAATTAAAATGATGGTATAAACTGGTATAAACATCAATAACACCACCTCAACAAATAATGTTATATTAATAATATCTAAACACAACTTCCATAAAATATACTGAGAAAGATGATAAAATTATAAAATTGTAAAAACTATAAATAATTGCAATTTTAGTTTAAAAGTTTATAATTTACACCTGATGACGGTTTTATAAACCGAAACATGTTGTGAAAGTTCCGATGTAAATCGAATGCTCGATATGGAACATAAGATGATATTTTAATCATTTTAATTATCTGATCTTACTATTTTATTGTGATTTGACGGTAAACAAATATAATAATTATTTTAATTAATATTACAATATGACGCAGCTATCCTATCTCATAAATATCGGTGTAAAGTTTTATTAATGTTGGTCTATTTAACGAGCTTATTTCATTGACTATAGCGTCGAATGATAAGAAAATAATTACTAATAAATAAAGAATTTGGGATGACATAAAAAGACAGTAGTAGCCTAATGCAGGGTACTGTATTAGAATTTGTCTGAGGAACTGAGGAAAACCAAGAACATCTTAGGAAACCACGATCGGTTTGTGGTGATTGTATATAGTGCAACCCTAAAGTGGTAGGACCATTGGTAGACACGAGAAAAAAAATTGTTAAGAAAAGTTCATAAAGTTGGTCACAGATGTACCTCAATAACAGCTAATGGAGAAGAGAGACCACGGAGTTAGTTGCTGTGAAGTTCTAGCAAATAAGAAACCGAAATTAAATAAGTTAGTATTATTTCTGGAAATGAAATATGGAACTTTGGCTGATGGCTATGTCACTTTCTAGAGGGGTCAAAGTTAAATAAAACTATATTTTTTGGTTCTGGGTCATGCCAACAAGAAATTCTGCTGTCATTGAAGACTTGTATTAGGTTTTAAAAGTAATTTAAAAGGTTTAAAAACTTCACACAGAAGCAGTTGAGTTCGTACGTCCCTGAGCTAAAGTGAGATTAGTGATAAGAAATGATTTTTTAATTAAATTACAGCCACTCCGATTCCATACAAAAACCGCATTTATTCTTAAAAACGAGTCAGGATTTGATGGAAAATATTATGTGAAGTTTGTATTCATGGAGGTAATCATGTACATGTACGACTTATCTGCAGGTGTCAGCTGTATGAACCTTATTCTCAGGTTTCAAAATAATCTTGACTCGTGTCATTCCAGCGAAACATTTTGTAAAAACGATGCTATAAATTAGATAATTTTCAAGATGCTATGTTCTAAAATGTTCGCTGCATCAACATAACTTCTGTTTCATAAAGTGTCTCAACATGATTATTCATCAGCAGACTTTTAAAATGTGTGCAGAGAGGAAAAAGTGCGGCCTGGACGTGACGCTGACTACTCACCCCATCTATTGCCGAGGTCAGGAGTGAGTAGGAGCTGTACTACATCTCCCCCGAAGCGCCTTCATGGTGGTTAGCAGGACAGTTGTTTTAAGAGATGCATGAATAACTGAAGAAATTCTTCTGCCGAAAAAAGAATAGTGAGATTCGAAAATCTGTTTAACTATGACAATAAACTGAATCAAATCACATATTTAGATATATCTGGATTGTTGAATGAATTTAAAATTTCTCTGCAAGGTTACAATTTGCCCATCCGTTAGCATAGCAATGTTTTTAAAATAAAACTAGATTTCCAAATCACACATCAGATTTGTCGTTATTGATATTCAATAAATTTCAAGAGAGGGCTTTGTGAAATGATTAATAACACTGACTTAATTTTTTTTCTTCTATTTTTGAAACTCATTTTTATTTTCTCAGACTTTTAGATTATTCAACACTAGTATAAAGTGAAGTTTTCAACACTTATTACATTTTTGTAAAATATCTTCTGCCTTCCCAACAACTTATCAAAATATTCACAGATGAAAAACAGAGGCACGTGGCTATTACGCGATGCTTAATATATGAGTTTTTTGTTTCATACATTACTGAATAAGCAATGTTACTGACCCTCTAACTAACTGGATTCCCAGAATTTTGTGGAATCCAAAGGTTCATTACTGATTTTACAAAAGCCCACCGTCGACATTTATCTTCTGTCAGATAAGTCCAGTCCAAACTCTTATTTTCTTAAGGTCGATCTTCCATTTAAGCTCAGGTTTTCTGAGTGGCCTCTACTCTTCAAACTTCCCAACAAAAATGTTAATACTTTTCACATTTCTCCCATGCGTGCTACGTCCCAAGAGTAACGAAGTGACAGGTAGATGAAGACAATTTTATAATACAGAGCAGAAAAATGTGAGCTGTCCAGGAATTTTTTTTAGAATAATAAAACCGAGATTGAAATTGGTGTTGCATCTTGGACACATGGGGAGATAAGAAATGTCTACAAAATTTTGATTGGAAATCGTGAAGGGACAGGTCAAGGACCAGTGGATCGATCGTGTACACATGATAATGCAACTTCCGGGTTCATAAATAGCGTGGAATTTAGCTGGTTAAGAAAAATTTTACTCCATGATTTTGTTCATATTTCGAGAAGAAAACAAGTTATAGAACTCCTTTTTATGTGAAACCACTATCCATCACAGCTCCAAAACGATATCAGAAACGTAAATCATACATAAGAAGTCTGCAATAAGAATTCCGTATTTACAGTCATCTTAATTTGTCGAATCATTTGTATTTCTTTTAATAACGTTTTCTCATAATACACCGTCTTCACTTCTTATATTGGATTTACTTACATTAAATTTGATGCTTCAATATTAATATTCTCCCCCTGTTTCTAAGCAGGACACAGTGAATGTATTCATTAACGTAAACGTACTCATATGTTATCAAATATATTATTTTATTTTCTATTTCTAATTTATTAATATTCATTTAGTCTTTATATTATTTACTTTACAGGATGATACAAAAACAACAACAAAACGTTCACCCACACAAAATCATGTTAAGCACGACGTACATACAGAACAACTTCGAATACGATATTAAAAATACAATAAATCTAGAAGAAAACATCATTTGAAATCTGATAAACATCTGACTAAAAGTTGCATTTAAGAAATTATATTTAAGTTTATATAATTTTATACACCTGAAGATGGTTCTTTTAGAACTGAAACATGTCGTGTAAAAATTAAAAATTGATGATCTAATGTAAATCGAACATTTCGATAGAGTTAGAGAACATCGTATAATATATTGTTTAAATGTTAATTATAGTAATATTTTAATAGGAATTTTATTGTGATTATACTGACAAGATTTAAACAGATTTTGGAATGTGTTTTGATGGTGAAAACGGAATTATTTCCCTACTGACTCTGCTAGCATGTTTTTCATTGCATTTGTTATATCATGTTGTTGTTATGATGATGATGATGATAGTTGATGATGAAGTCCTTCTTAATTAACAATTAAGAAATTATCGTGAATTAAAAACTTGGAAGACAATAAGCTGATGGTTTCAGTGTAAACAGACGACGGAGGCTAGAATTAGACTTAAAAATTAAAGAGATAAAACGGGAAACAAACAAGAGAGTAACGGAGAGGTGACACGGAAGTCTTGGTTCTACAATTTCACGGACTATTTTCACCCGTTGTAGGTAGGCATCGCTGCAACACAGCTCGTTCCAGAATCCGAAAAGCAAACATCGCTTAGGTGCTCTTTAAATTCACTGAGTCAACTGACCACAAGCCAACCGACCTCGACGGATAGAAAGATCCATTCCCTCCATACTTTGTTACATGCAACTTTTAGTAGCCCGAAAAGCGTTGCCATCAACACGATAGAACCCGTGTGTCACCGGGATGTTTGCTCACCGAATGACGAATAGTATTTCAGTTATAAGGTATTGTAGATGCGTCATATTGTGATTTATATAGTATTAAAAATATATTAAAATTAACCGTCAATCACAATATAATATTATTAAAAAATTAAAATATCATTTTACGTTCCCTATCGAGTACTCGATTTACATGTGAAACTTACACGACATGTTTCTGCTATATATAGCCATCATCAGGTGTTATGTATTAAAACTTTTCACTAAATTACTGATTTTTTTACTGATTTTTAAATGATTTTTAGTCTTCATTTTTCTTGTGATGTTCTTGTCCTTTATATTGTTTCTTCATTCGTTGTGGTATCACATGTCACTAATATGTTTGTATTTCGTATTTCGTATTGATGTAAATGTTTTGTATACGGACTGTGAAGTAAAGGTTTCAAACTATTAATGAAAATTGAATATAGAAAACAAAATAAATAGTTGAAATTAATCATGTGAACTTACCCAAGAAGTAATATCGTATCAGGTTTATGAGAGATCGGAGATGTTGTGATGCAGAGGGCAGGATGATTTATTAATTACCCTTACATTCTGAACACAGTCGTTTATTTATTTATAGTTTATATTATCGATGCTTTTGTCAGTAATTCAGATAATATAGCGTTGAAACAGTCGTCTTAAGCCGTATTATTATACGCTAGACTCTTAGGTAGTGTGTCTAATTACCACATTTTTGTCAAAACATCCTGTGAAACATGTATTTTACTTTAGCTTAGTGCCAGAACTCTTTTACAAAGACAGATACTTTTCGGGTGGTTTCAATTTTCTCACGTCATTATACAAGGCTTTGTCATGAGACGTACAGCCGAAAACCGTGGTCCTATTTCGTAGTCAGGAGGTTAAAATATAATCCTGATACGCGTTACTATAACCAATCACTACTTTCCAATTCTTCCGCGCTGAGTTTTCGCTAGCTTACTCTCGATTATATTAGGATCATAATGGAATATTATATGAGATTAATTAAGGAAAAAATTAATTACTGAATTAACAGATACTTTGGGCGCCATAGGGTTAATTCAAAGTTTACTTTCGTTGATCTTTAGATCGTTTGTAGCTAGATGGAAATAAATACGATTTTTTTGTAGAATATATGTCACCTTAACTACTTAACTAATCATATATATACATATATATAAACATATATAGCAAATGGGGTGGATTTTGAACGTGGGAGCGGATGTGCCACCTAAGTTTCCAAACGCATCATAAACCCCACAAATGGATCATAACAAAATGAAAAATTTAGAATATGAAAGCGCATAAATACTGATAAATTAACTTATAAACTAATACTGAAATTAATTACATTATAAATCGTTACCAAAAGCATATAAGCTTTATATTATAATAAACCTGAATATTAGAATTGATTAAACGAAATCAAATTATGATTTTATGAGCGCTTACAACACTCATTTCCATCTGTCACCTTAGGTTGATAACCTGAATGTAATCTTATAACGTTGCACGCTGTTTCTGTATAGAAAAAGCCGCCATAGGACCACCCAATTATTCATTATATACAGTATTTCTCTCTCACAACACGTTTCGATCAAAATGTACCATTATCAGGTGATTAACACAATAATATACAAAACAGTAGCTGACTGAACTGAATAATTTATAAATTTCGATGTGTGCAAGTAATATCTTATGGACAAACTTTTCATGAATAAAATTTTCTTATATTATCACCATTAAATATTATTATAATTATTAACAAAAAATTACATATATTATCCAGTGTCTTCCATAATATATATAAATTTTATTCTTCGATTTAATTAATATTGTCTTTAACAAACTTATTAATTTTATATATCTGTCATTTTAGTGTCTTTGAGTCGTGTCTTAGGCATAGCCCAGCTGGAAGTCGGTTTCGACAGCAATCCGATAACCACGGATTTCAAATGATAACCAAAGTGGCCCTCACTCGCACGGTAAAGGTTAGAATCACCGGAATATTTCTACTATTATATCGGTCACTTGTACCATTTTATTTAATCAGATACGTTTCATCTCGCAAATCGGAACTGTTAATAAAACTTCTACAAGTATCTAATAATATCCTGTCATTACAAGCTATTACAACAAGAAATGAATGATTAAGTGTTCTTAAAATTCTATTATAACCACAAAGCTCACAAAGATCTCTGCGTGTTTATTGTAAAATTGTCTTCCTTGTGTGAAATAATTGTCTCTAATAAGTGACAATGTGGGAATTCATTAAGAAATTTATAATAGAAACATACTATTAAATTCATTCCTTTCTCCCCCACGTACTTTGAATTTTAGGTTATTAGGCGAGAGAAGGAACATATGATCTACAAATATAGTATTAAAATATATTAAAATTGTCCGTCAATCACAATAAAGTAATATAAGATAATTAGATAGTTAAAATATTATCCTTTGTTCCGTATCGAGTACTCGATTTACATATGGAACATTCTCGACATGTTTCGGCTTTAATAGAGCCGTCATCAGGTGTATGTTATAAACTCTTAATTCAATTACTAATTTTTAATTTTTTAATTTTCTTATCATTTCTTCGTTTTTCTTGTATCAACTTATTTGATGTGTTATATATAACATTGATGCAATCGTATTGTCGGAGTGATGTTAATGCTGCGTATATTGGTCTGTGAA